TTTCCAAATGGTCAGTACGCCCCTGGTCCAGGCACATGTTTACAGGCATTTAGAAGGCAGAAAACAAATCATTACTTGTGCGTTCTGAGGGGGGTGTTTAAGCAAAAAAAGCATGCATGTTTATGAGTGGTAATAGAGTCTAATTGGCAGAATTCATATTCTGGGCTGGCCAATAGAAATGCAGTAACACCAAACTCATGAACGCACAGAAATGCAGACTAAAGTGCACATGTCCAAACAGCGCAATTCTTTCGCGTTCAGGAGAGGGAGGTTTAACTCTTAAACTCTGCTAAAAGCCTACATGGACACATAGGCCCTGATTTACTAATGTGCATAGACACATTTCTGTGGGATAAAGTCCACTTTTCATTAGAATCAGTCTACTTGTAGACGTTTACTAAAGAAAAAGTCTAACAAGTAGACTCGAATTTACTAAGTTAGTTTACTAACTAGGCACAATACAGGAATCAGTCTAAAAAAGCAGATGTCCTAGAAGCACATCTAACAAATGAAAAATCACTGCAGAAACATGTTCACATTGAAATTTGCTTTCCCAAATATCTGGACTTCACTTTAAACAATATATTACATTTCAAAAAATGTTTTCAATAGGTAAAAAATAGTTTTTTAAGGGAATTCATGACAGTCAAGAACTAGACGCTTTTTCAACATCTATGCAAGGATAGAAATGAGCATGTGCAGGACACAATTTAGCTGTCTGCCGTGGGCGCTTTCTTTTTAGATGCTGTTTAATAGTAAATCTCTGTGTGGAGTCCTCTGCAAGAAGGCAATTGATCGCGTTTCCTGTGACTGACAAACAGCACTATTTGTAGCTAGGTATATCTTTATGTATTATAATTTTATTTCCTTAGTTCTATTGATTCTATTTTTGTTTCTTATCCTTTATAATTATTTCTGTAATGGTTTTACATATTTTGAAGATCTAGATAATATATATTTTGATAGCTGAATCTAAAAATAGAGGTTGGCAATTAAAAAAAAAAAAAATGGCATGGGGTCCCCCCTCCCATCCATACCAAGCCTTTCGGGTCTGGTATGGATCTTGAGGGGAAGCCCCACACCAAAATTAAAAAAAAAATGGCGTGGGGTTCCCCCCAAATCCTTACCAGACCCTTATCTGAGCATGCAGCCCAGCAGGTCAGGAAAGGGGGGGGGGGAACGAGCGAGCGCCCTCCCCTCCTGAACCATACCAGGCCACATGCCCTCAACATGGGGGGGTGCTTTGGGGCACGGGGGCTCCCCCCCAAAGCACCTTGTTTCCATGATGATGGGGACAAGGGCCTCTTCCCCACAACCCTGGCCGATGGTTGTGGGGGTTGTCTGCGGGTGGGGGGCTTATCGGAATCTGGATGCCCCCTTTAACAAGGGTTCCCCCAGATCCCGGCCCCTCTATGTGAATGAGTATGGGGTACTTGGTACCGCTACTCATTCACAAAAAAACAAAAAGTGTAGTGTACAAAAGACAGGACACAGTCTTTGACAAGTCCTTTATGTCGCCGCCGACTCGAGAAAAGAAAAAAAAGGTTCCGTTCCCTACGATGACTGCCAGCCCTCTGCTCTGAGCTGGGTTGACAGTTCTTAAATATGTAAGGGGCAGGGCCACACAGGGACATCATGCATGTGACCCCACCCCATGTGACATCAATGCCTTCCAGATTCTGATAAGCCCCCCGCCTGCAGACCCCCACAACCACTGGCCACGGTTGTGGGGAAACGGCCCTTGTCCCCATCATCATGGAGACAAGGTGCTTTGGGGGGGGGAGCCCCCCTGCCCCAAAGCACCCCCCCATGTTACCCATGTTGAGGGCATGTGACCTCATATGGTTCAGGAGGGAGGGGCGCTCGCTCATTCCCCCCCCCCTTTCCTGACCTGCTGGGCTGCATGCTTAGATAAGGGTCTGGTAGGGATTTGGGGGGGACACCACATCATTTTTTTTTAATTTTGGCGTGGGGCTTCCCCTCAAGATCCATACCAGACCCCGGCTTGAAATGGATGGGAGGGGGGACCCCACTCCTTTTTTTTTATTTATTATGGTGCTGGTTTTTAAATATAATTATCGCTTTTTTTTTTCTTCATTATAGCTCAGAAATTCAGCTGTCACTTTCCCCAGCTAAAAGATAAAGTTTTCTTTGAGTTTATTTCCCTAAAGGAAACAATGTTTACTTTTAGTTTCCTAAAAAAAACAGTTTCCTGTAACTCCGGGGAAAGTGATAGCTAAGCTTGTGAACTATAGTGAAGAAAAAAAAAGGCTGTCATTTGCATTTAAAAATCAGCACCGACATACACTTCGTATTAAAACATTTGGAAACAGATGCATTATTTTCAATGGATTTTCATACGTAAACCAAAAATTACATTAACCAAGGCATTGGTAAACCGAGGTATGCCTTTAATAGTATTGCAATCCTTTGTATTGGGATACATAGAACCAACATACATCTGAATTGGCAACATAGCACAACATTTGTGTCACATTTGAGATATCTGACTAGTTACACTGACCTTGCCCAGGGACCTAGGATTGATTCACACCACAGAAATACAGGCGGGATTGGTGTAACAGCTCATTGAATAAGTGATTAGCACTGCTGCCTCACAGCAGTAGGGTTGTCGGTTTGAATCCCAACCACGGCAATGAAGTTGCATGTTCTCCCTAGGCGGCTGCCCTAAAATAGATGTGCTGGCAGCATGTTTGCTTTCTGTCTAAATGATTCCTAGAATCCTAGAATGTGAATTAGAATGAGGCCTTGTCTGTTCAAACACCTTCAAAGCTGCATCTTATGTGAATGTCAAACGATGGGGTGAGATAAGGCCCTGGACTAATGTTTGATTAATGGCAGTCAGGGTGCCATTATCTAGCCTGTGGAGGTCTGTGTATCCCTCCATGGATATTCCTCCCCAGACCATCACTGACCCACCACCAAAGCGGTCATGTTGAATAATGTTGCAGGCAGCATAATATTCTCCATGGCTTCTCCAGACCCTTTCACGTCTGTCACATGTGCTCAGGGTAAACCTGCTCTCATCTGCAAAAAGCACAGGGCGCCAGTGGCAGACCTGCAGATTCTGGTGTTCAATGGCAAATGCGAATTGAGCTCTATGGTGCCGGGCAGTGAGCACAGGGCCTACTAGAGGACATTGGGCCCTCAGTCCACCCTCATGAAGTCTGTTTCTGATTGTTTGGTCAGAGACATTCACACCAATAGCCTGCTGGAGGTAATTTTGTAGGGCTCTGGCAGTGCTCATCCTGTTTCTCCTTGCACAAAGGAGCATACCGGTCCTGTTGATGGGTTAAGGACCTTCCACAGCCCTGTCTAGCTCTCCAAGAGTAAGTGCCTGTCTCCTGGAATCTCCTAAATGCTATTGAGACTGCGCTGGGAGACATAGCAAACCTTCTTGCAATGGCGCTTATTGATGTGCCATCCTGGAGGAGTTGGACTGCCTGTGCAACCTCTACAGGGTCTGGGTATCGTCTCATGCTACCAGTAGTAACACTGACCCTAGCCAAATGCAACAGTAAAAAAAGATGAGTAGGGGAAAAAATTTCAGTGGCCTCCACCTGGGGGCTGTCTCGTTGTTAACACCAAAGCAAATGAAACTGATTAACATCCCCCACTGCTACCTAGCTGACCAGATCACTATCCCAGGAGTTTTCATTTTTCTCTAGGATGATGCAGAACCCCGTCCTCTGTCTGGACAGTGCTGACTGGCCCTGTGCTGAGCACTCTTCCAAGAAAAAAAAAACTCTCTAGAAATACACACCAAACTGAGCATGTGCAGAGTGACTCCACAGGATATGTCTTATCAGGAGATAACAGGGGGACACTGGAAGAAGGGGAGGATCAGAGAAGTCAGGATCAAACAGTGTTTTCACACAATGCAGAGGATTAACCCCTTACGTTACACAGTGAGTATAAGAAGCATGCTTTACTGCATATACAGACTGATTTTACTGTTGTGGGTTTAGTAACACTTTAAATCCCCTTTCTTCCCAATTCTGATGCTCAGTTTGAACTTCAGCAAATAATCCTCACCATGTCTAGATGCCTAAATGCATTAAGTTGCTGCCATGTGATTGGCTGATTAGCAATTTGAGTTACCAAACAATTGAACATGTGTACCTAATAGCAGATTGTAAATTGAAAAAATATTGTTAATGGATATAAGCAATGTTCCAAACAAATATATATTCAATCTTGTTGGTGATGTCATCCATATGCAGTTATTTTTCCCTGAAGAAGGACTGAAATTTCTCTGAAATGTGTTGGACTGTATAGAAATTGTCTCTGTAACAATATGTGTTGATGGCGATGTCACAATATTTTTAAAAAATGATTAATCAAGCATCACATTAAGTATCTGTATTACTAAACAGATACCTGGATGGTGATGCTGTACCATGATCTTGGATGGTCTGCTATGTTGTATGTTTCAATGTGAAAATTTTACAAAATAAAGATTTTGTACTTTTTACAATTTTTTTGTTATCCATCTATGCTTTTAAAGTCCCAAATCCCATACGGGGGTTCTCATTTTTTTTTAATCTTATCTAATAAAGTGGTGGTGAATGTATGTCAACTACTGTCCTAGCATAATTGTAAAATGCAGAAAACTAAAGAATTTCTTTTGTGAGGACTTGTACATAATTTAATTCCCAAATTCAAGAAAAGCACCTACATTTTATACTAACAAATACAAAGTTTCTAAAATACATTCTGCTTTGCAAAAAAAGGAAGAGTAAATACACTTTCTTATTATTTTTATTGCCATCATTTTCAGATAACCCTGTAAACAAGTAATATGTCTTCCGTTTTATACAGATAACATAGATTGTGTTTTCGTTAAAATTTTAAACAAGCAAGAAATGTTTTATTTTCTGCATTTGCTTTTAACATCACAAACATGTATATAAGCTTGATTGTTTCTTTTATTATTGTAATTATAAGTATAGAATTGTCATCATTTCTTTGAACTATTCTTAGACAGAGAGCTGTTGGATTCTGCTTTCTACCGTCTTTTTGTCAGCTCCAGTTATGCGATCCCTCTGAAAGCAATTTTTAAAGTACCTTTTAGAAGTGATTCTCCAGAAAAAATCAAAAACATTACAGATATATTTTAGTAAAATGTGCTCAAACGGACCTACCGTATATCACAGTGTTGATGCAGGTGTGTTATTGTGTAGTTATACTGCTGGGTGCAGACCACCATCTGTCCTCATCATGCATGATGTACAGTATTTTACAGCAAACCATCTCATTTTGATATAGCAAAATGGGCGCTGTAGATGTCCAGATCTGTACACATTAACTAGAGAGATATCTGCCCTGACTATTAAATTGCAGGTAAAAACTGGGCTGAGTTTGGTCTAGATTTTTTCTTTTGCTCATAATTACTGCTGCTGATGCACTTAAAGCAGAGTTCTGGTCCCTGCCACCTCCCCCCTAAAAAAGTTAAAAGTCAGCAGCTATAACACTGTGTCTGCTGACTTTTAATAGTAGGGTACTTACCTATTCATGCATAAAGTGTTGTCTTCACCCCAAACCGATTCTTCAATCGGCTGTCGGGTGCTGGCACTGCCATCTTGACTATGGGAAACCGGCAGTGAAGCCTTGTGGTTTCCTACTGTGCATGTGCGAAGCTTGCTGTGCTTTGTAAATTGGCTGTAGTCCTCTGGGACCTTGGAACTGTCCCAGAGAGCTGTGGGGGTGCTGAACTTCCAGCTGAGTTTGCCACAGCAAACGGAGCAAGAAGTGGGAGCGGGCACCTGTCAAAACCAGGTACCTGCTCCCCCTCCCCCTCCAAAATGTGCCAAATGTTGCAGCGGAGGAGGAGGCAAAAAGCGGAGCTTCCACCTTTGTGTGAAACTCTGCTTATAATTCAAGCATTACAGTGGTAATCATTCATGTTAGATATCTTCATATTTTATTTTTAAGAAATAATTTATTAGATTTCTGTAATTTCTTTTATCATAAAAATGCAAACAAATATTTAAAAAAATGTGTTCAGTATTTAAAAAAAAAACCCAATAACATTTAGAATGGCACTGAACTGCTTGCAAGCATGTGGCTCTCTCCCATGGCAGTATCATTCTCTGTGATACTCTGAATTGGAGAAGATACTGCGTGAACTTTGATTTGGTAGAAGGACCTTTTGGACTCTTCACCTTCATCTGTCATACTCCCCTGTTCCTTGCTACATCACCAGTTCTTCCCCCATTTGTGCACTTGAGTCTTCCATCTTCCTCCAGCTTTGCAGCCAATGAAAGAAGAGCAGCCGAACCCCTGACATCCCTAGTGAGCTCTTTTGTGATCCCCAGTGCCTCCTCCTCGCTTTGTCTGTCTCTCCAGTGATTCTCATGTACTCCATCTGGCATCCCATCTGGTGATCCCTGTGTGCCAGCCAGCCTACCATTAGTAGCATCTCTACACTCTTATTCTATTTGATTCATCTGTGCCTCTGTATGCACTCCTACTAGCTTGGACTGGGTACCCTACAGACTTGTGATCCCGGTATCTCAATGCTACAAGGACTCTTGAAGCATTCCTGCATGTAGACTTTTCCCAGTAGTTTGCAACCTGGGTGTTGCCTGCAGCAAAACCAATCTCCAACTTTAGGAGTTCTGATGAAGACAAGGCGACTTCTTAGATTCTACGCCTGAGCCCTGCTAAGAGGTCTCATCATTGCTGCATGGGTGGGCACACTGGACTTGCCCTTTCGGTGCCAATAGGTACCCAGCTTCTCCAAGATTCTTCGCTCTTCTGTAGCCAACGCCACTCTCTAGTCCGAGCTGTAAAACTAATTTCTGGCCAGCCAGTCTGCCCCTTAGTGGGCTTGTGACATCATCTATGGCAAAAATAATTTAAATAACAAAGATACAATACTTTTTGTTGTATTTAAAATACACTTTCTTAAAAATGACTTCCCCCATCTCAATTATCCAAGTTATAAAAAACAGGTACTGTAATTCTATTAGGGATGCACCAATACAGTTTTTTACCGGTGAGTACGAGTACCAATATTTTCAGTCAAGTACTCACCGATACCAAGATAGCTTTGCAGTGCGATTTAAGCCCATAGAAAAAGAATGTTTCCTGTACAGCTTCCGTGTGTACCCAGGCTTGTCATAGTGACTTTGTGCCTGTGTTCACACAGGGGCATGCAGGAAACCTCCTTGCATGAAGGGTTCCATCAGCTCCCGATATCACTGTGGACATCAGTGGTTGAGGCTTTCCCATTGTCTGACAGCGGGAATCAGCAGTCTGGTTCAGCAGGACCTGGGGGATGGAGAGGGGATCCAGTGGACTGCTGGAACCGCTGGAGACTGGGGAGAGAGCCATGGAAGAGGTAGAAGGAGCCCAAGCTGCAGCTACTCATGTCCACAGTGGCCTCTGGAGCCAGAGCTGGTGGAACCCTTCATGGAGGGAGGTTTCCTGCACCTTTCCTGTGTGAACTCAGGCTCAAAGTCACTATGACAGCATTGCTGTTCCAATCACATGCAGTTCTTTGCAGTGCATTTTGAGCCCATTCATTTGTATGGGCTCAAGTGGCACTGCAAAGGTATCGGTTTCATATTAGCATTTACACACTTGTGCAAGTACTCAGTATCTGCACAGATACTGATACCAGTATTGGTGCAACCCTAAAAAATACTATTGCATAATTTAGGGTTGCACCAATACAGGTGCTGTACATGAAACTGCATGTGATTTGGACAGAAATTGCACCACATTTGCAGTGCAATTTGAGCCCATTCATTTTGTATTTGTTGGTACTCGGTATCGGCAAGTACTTGACTGAAACTATAGGTACTTGTACTCAACGGTGAAAAAAAAGAACAAACAGTCTTGGTGCAAGCCTAGGCTTTTTGCAGGTACTTTTTTACACCATCTTCAGGTGGGGACTGGAAATTGGAGATATGGGAATAGGTCATTCCTGACTAACACTATGTAGGTCTGTGGCTTGTGAAGGAGTGAGAGATTGCTCTCTGCAAGGTTGAACTGCCAGGAGGATTAGTTATGGACACACTAGGAAGAAGACAGTAGAACCTTGCCAACCGTGACCTTTTGCGTAGCAGGTCTCTGGCCTGGTTCTGGACAGTCCCAGGGCCTAGTAATGAGGGATGCCCAGTGTATGGAGTATGTGTGCTCCTAGGGTAGTGTAGGTAAATGTATTCTGTATGACTTATGGTAACTATGTGAGTCTGTAATTAGGTTGGGTTACTGCAGGTCAGGCTGGATGGCTTAACAGGTTGGGACTCTATTGCCTCCACTTGGTTCTGGAGGACCATGGAACCTTCTAAAAGCCAGTGGGCAGAAGGGTTGGAAACCTAGTCTGCATGTTTATTGGAGTCTAGCCAATCCCAGATTTGCAGGTCCTGGTAGAGTAGAGGTGAGACCAATCCATAAATGAGAGTAAGGCTGACAGGGAGTTGGGTGGAAGATGGAGTGCTGAAGAGACTGTCGGTGACCTGGGAGGGGTCCCCCAGGTGTAGGAAGGGGGTTGGCCTCCAGGCTGGGCTCGGGCTGGCTCAGGAGGATCCATTCAGTATCAGAGCATGAACAGAATTAAAGCCTGGGAGCAGTTGGAGCAAGGAGAACAGAGTGAGTACCTCCAGGGATTTACAAGGGGAGAGACTGCCACGTGTAGCAAGCTTTCAAAGGAGAGCTCTGTGCCAGGGGCAGACTGACCATTTGGAAACTCGGGCACTGCCCGAGGGCCGGGGTCAGTAGGGGGCCCCATGAGATGCCCCTGGTACCTTTTTCATAGGCTTTTTTGAGTTTGGGCAAGGGCACAGGAGCCCCATGATGCCCTATTGCCCGGCCCCATGAGTTGGCAGTCCGCCCCTGCTCTGTGCTTAACCTCCCTGGCGGTATGATTATGTCAGGAATTTTGTACCAAAAGCGGTACCATTTTTTTGCATGGAAATATGTATTTTTTTTATTGTAGGCCTGTAATTTAGGAATAACTCCCTGAAATCTGCCCGAAAAAGAGTCTAGTAAACATCCCGGATAGGATAAAATTTGAAACACGAAATCATAAATTATAATTTAATAAATAATCATAAAAAAATAATAATATAATAATAATACATTTAATTCAATAATATAATCAAACCAAAAACACTGAAATGTGAAATATAGCGCCAAGTTAGCACATTGCTGAGCAAAGTCGCAAAATCGTTTTCAGTGTCTGATGACGAATTTCCCCACAAATCATTATCACTCAATTCTGCAAGTGGTTCTGATTTACTATCGCTGTTCTCTAGCTGATCTAAACTGCTTTTGACCTAAAGGGACACTTTTTGGACGCCATGGACATTTCTCAGTTTCCAGGCAGAAAGAACAGACAAAATGCAGGCAGGGCGCAGGACAAAGCATTAGGGACAAGATGTATGTGAAATTGGTTGAGACAGCAATGTTTTACTATGTAAAATGTAAAAAAAAAAAAAGACATTTTTTAAAATTTTTAAATTTCCCGCCGCCAGCGGCGCCCGTACGTCCCGACGTCACAGGGACAGGACACAGAAGCCGGATGCCGGCATCGGCCAGAGGAGATGGCCGGGGACGCTGCAGGGGACACATCGTGGGAGCGAAGGACAAGGTAAGTGAAGAACACATGCCGGAGCAGTGCCGCATGGTATTCCCGAGTGTAGCTCGGGGTTACCGTTTGTGGTACTGAAGTGTTACCCCGTGCTACAGTCGGGAATACCGCCAAGGAGGTTAAGCCTTTACCCTTGTCCTGGGAGACCTATAGAATAGCCAGGAAGGCTGGTAGTGTCTGCAAGCTGTGCAGCTGGGAGAAGTTCTACAGGGGAGAGGAGACACCTCTGCATGTAGTTTGCAACAAGCTAAGCTAACTTTCAGAGGGGGCTGAGAGTCCATAGCCCATAAGGGCCTGTTGCTACTGATCCACATAGACTGACCATTTTCCAGGAAAAGAATAGTCCAGGATTTGTTCCTGTAAATAGGATGTTGTCCCTGTGCATTGTTTCAGGCAAGCTGGAAATCCCATAATCCTTATTACCCTATCCAAGTTATTTCCCCTAATAAAATAACAAAAACCTAGCTCATGGAATGTTCACTGAATGTGAAAAAAGCATGTTGCCTGGCTGTGCGGAGCTTAGGGGGACCTAGAAACACAGCAGCCCTCAAGAGGGTAGTGCTAAACGTCTGAGTGCATTCACCACTTTATGTAAGCCTTCATACATTCATGTCTATGGGCAGCTTCACACAGCACCAGGGGCATCCCACCACTAAAATACATTTGATTACTCTGTGTAGGTGAAATCACCCATGTGCATGAGCCCTTAATTATCAATTTATTAGATTATCACACTCCCTAAAGCCAGTACACTCAGTTCCTTTTTTTTAATTCAACCAGAGGGCTCAACACAGTGATGTTTTTGCTAACAGCTATAGCTGGCAATAATCACATGTAAAATCCGACATGCTGGTTGTACCCAAGTCATACAACAATCAAATTGGGTACAATCAGTCTGCCCATAGATGGTTTCAATCTCAACTGGTCCTTGCTGAACTGGCTGAGATTCAAACCATCTATGGTCAGCATAACAGATTTCTGCATCCAATCTAAAAATTATTGATGCAGGAATCCCTGTGCTGTGCACAATGTGAGTGGGCATTTGGCTGTTCTTTATTCTTGAAAGAGATTAAATACTGATTTACACTATGGGAGGTCTATTTTTTATGCATTTGATATGTTATCACGGCACTTGTCACTATTGTGAAATTTGATCCCAAATTCAGGGATCCACTCTATTTCACTCTGTTGTATATATATGGCTTAATTTAGCCATTTTCTTCCTGGTCACGATTTGCACGAGAATATTAATCCCATTCAGGGATTCACGATATTATATATTTTTTCACATTTGTGGTCCCATTTGGATGGTCCGTTGTCACTGGTTCCTGGTCTTGATACCAGGTGAGATCATGTTCAATTACTCACCATAGATCCCAGAGAGGATCAATTCACTGATTACTAGTCATTTGCGATATTTATTCACTCTGCACATTTTTTTTTGTATTATATGTTGTATGATATGATTATATTTAGGGTAGCGCTGCATCATATATTTATTTATTCATTTATTTCCACTTGGTATATGGTTAGGTGCTAGCAGCTCCCCCATATTGGATTTATTGCTTAATAGTAGAGCAGGAGGTCCCTATTAAAATCCCTGTGCTGTGTTATTGTATTCAGACAGTGGGCACTCCTCTGCTGTAAGAATACACTGATAAGTGACTGCTCGCCAGAAACTGATCTGAGGGTCAGCTTTTGTTAAACAGGGAGGGTCACAAACAGAACAAAATTCTGGCTAGCAAATAAACCCTGACACATGAATATCAAAATGACATAAAAATAAACTTGCGTTAGGAATACATAAATCTGAATTATCACATACCAGTGTTCCAGACTTGATGAAAAAATATTCTGGCACTGCTTGGATATCATATTCCTTCGCAAAACTCTAATAATGAAATATAAAGTAGTATTAGGAAAAAATACCAGGCTTGTTAAGAAAAAAAAATATTTTATATATCACTTACTGGGTTTTCTCCAACATCACATCTTAAAATAATTGCAATGTTTGTTTCCAAAGCCAGTTTCTGTTAAATAAAAAGGAAAAAATGTATGGTTTCACCTATTACAAAAATACATTACAAAGATTATATTTGGAGACACTGTAACATTCTACAACCTTCAACTTAAAGTCTTAATCAAAGTCAGCAGCAACAGTATTGAACTCCTAACAGGTAGCCAGAGGTTGTGGGAGGATCCAGAAACTTGAACGGTAACCACTCTGGGTGGTTACTAATCAAGTTTCCTGCATGAGCAGTCCTTTCATTGCTATCGCTATAACCTACAGGTTTGTTTTCTTCAAATCATGCAGCCCTTTGATCTCCATGTAAAATTGATCCAATGGCAGTACAGCTACCTAATCACTTCAAAACCCTACTGGCACCTCTCCTGCTTTGTGCTGTTCCCCATATGGTCAGTGTGCTGCCCTTTTCTTGTCACAGGTCTTACTTTGCTTTCCTTGCCGATGGGATCCCAGGATTGTGTCAGGGGGGTGTTCAGGATAGCAGAGTGGGAGTAGATTAAGGAACTCCCATTCCCCATTATCAGCATAAAGTTAACCTGAAAGTGCTCAGTTCTTCCAAGGTGGCCAGATAAGCTGCAAATTGGGGCAGTTGTGTCCTAGATTTGTACTGACTGGAGGCAAAGAAGACATCAGGGGGTTTATTTACTAAAGCTGGAGAGTCCAAAATCAGACTCCCTTCTGCATAGAAACCAATCAGCTTCCAGGTTTCATTGCCAAAGCTTCATTGAACAAGCTGAGGTTAGAAGCTGATTGGTTTCTATGCAGAAGGGAGTCTGATTTTGGACTCTCCAGCTTTAGTAAATAAACCCCCAGGAGTCTAAAAGAAGTCTGATGTGTCTAAAAAGCATGTCTATCACAAAGTGCTATTACATAGGAGCTTATGGACAGTACCAAGGGGCGTAATGACAGTACCAAAGAGAAAAAAACTGTAAAATTAAAAGTCCCCTTTCCCTACTCAACATGCATGCATGCACTTACACAAAATTAGCACACGTATATATATAAATAAAGTACCTATTGCATGCCAGAGGTAGAAAAATCATTTTTTAGCTGTCACAATAATTTAATTCTGAATTGGTGAGATGTAATTGTTTTCAGTGCATCAGTCATTTACATTCCTTTGGAATATTCATAATTCTCCATTTCACAAGCACAGACGATCTAAAGTAGCACAAGTAGCGCTATGCTTTGTGAATGGTCCCCATGGTCTTCTGGGACCTGTCATGTGTCCCAGAAGACTACGGAGAGGGGGGAAAGGACAACTTCTGCTTCCAAACGCCTAGGAGTTGTCAAATTCTGGTTGGTAACCCCCCCCCCCCCCCCCGCTCCCCAAAGATGCCAATCCTTAACGGCATCAATGGCATCACACTAAGAAAATGCCCAACATAAAAAATATATACATGCAGTTGCCTCCCATACAACGCTGATGAGTATATCAAAACATATATTTGTCTGGGGTCTCTCTGGATAAATAGGTGAAAACAATTTAGTAAAAATAATTGGAGTAGATTAATTATATGAAATATGTTATGCAATAGGAAACCTAAAACTACCTTGTTTTTGCATTTTTGTTAATTTCTTTGCTTGTTATAATATGTATATTTAAGAACACTCTCCTACCTTTTACCATTTAAATTTGCACACTCTTTAGCAAAAGTGTGGATGCAGACAGGCCAGTTTGCACAGGAAAATGTGTACCCACAAATTATATCTGAACCTACATTCCTTTTACTCCTTATTGGTGCATGAGCAAGCGTTCATTAATCAGATGTACACAAGCAATTTTTTTTTAATGTGTAGCGCTACACCCGTAGGAGTTGCTGAGTTTTGATTTGGGTCCCTTTAAGCTATGCACAGCCAGGTAACACGCATATTCCACACTCTGAAGCACTAAAAAGTCCTTGAGCTTGGTTTTGTTGTTTTTATTAAGGGGTTAAACTTGGATGGGGTCTAGGGGTACATGGGATGCCCAAGGAACTGTAGAACTTGACGACAACTTCTGAGCAACCTCTACAGTGAGGAACAGTAATATTTGAACACCCTGCGATTTTGCAAGTTCTCCCACTTAGAAATCATGGAGGGGTCTGAAATTCACATTGTAGGCGCATTCCCACTCTGAGAGACAGAATTAAAAAAAAAATTCAGGAAATCACATTGCATGATTTTTAAAGAATTTATTTGTCTTGCACTGCTGAACATAAGTATTTGAACACCTGAGAAAATCAGTGTTAATATTTGGTACAGAAGCCTTTGTTTGCAATTACAGAGGTCAAACGTTTCCTGTAGTTCTTGACCAGGTTTGCACACACTGCAACAGGGATTTTGGCCCACTCCTCCACACAGATCTCCTCTAGATCTGTCAGGTTTCGGGGCTGTTGCTGAGCTGAGTTTCAGCTCCCTCCAAAGATGTTCTATTGGATTTAGGTCTGGAGACTGGCTAGGCCACTCCAGAACCTTGATATGCTTCTTACGGAGCCACTCCTTGGTTATCCTGGCTGTGTGCTTCGGGTCATTGTCATGTGGGAAGACCCAGCCATGACCCATCTTCAATGCTCTGACTGAGGGAAGGAGGTTGTTGCTTAAAATCTCACAATAAATGGCCCCATTCATCCTCTCCTTAATACAGTGCAGTCGTCCTGTCCCCTTTGCAGAAAAGCACCCCCAAAGCATGAAGTTACCACCCCCATGCTTCACAGTAGGGATGGTGTTCTTGGGATGCAACTCATCCTTCTTTTTTCTCCAAACACGACGAGTGAAGTTTAGACCAAAAAGTTCTACTTTGGTCTCATCTGACCACATGACTTTCTCCCATGCTTCCTCTGGATCATCCTGATGGTCATTGGCAAACTTCAGACAGGCCTGGACATGTGATGACTTGAGCAGGGGAACCTTCAGTGCAATGCATGATTTGAAACCATGATGGCGTAGTGTTCTACCGACAGTGACCTTTGAAACTGTGGTTCCAGCTCTCTTCATGTCATTGACCAGCTCTTCCCTTGTAGTTCTGGGCTGATTCCTCGCCTTTCTTATCATCAGTGATACCCCACAAGGTGAGATCTTGCATGGAGCTCCAGTCCGAGGGAGACTGACAGTCCTTTTTAGCCTCTTCCATTTTCTAACAATTGCTCCAAAAGTTGATCTATTTTCACCAAGCTGCTTGGCAATTTCCCCGTAGCCTTTTCCAGCTTTGTGGAGGTCCACAATTTTGTCTCTGGTGTCTTTTGACAGCTCTTTGGTCTTGCCCATGGTAGTAGTTGGCGTCTGACTGACTGTGGGGTGGACAGGTGTCTTTAAAGAGCTCAGACAGGTGCTACTAAGGTGTCTTTAAAGAGCTCAGACAGGTGCTACTAAGTTAGATTAATGAGTGGAGTAGAGGTGGACTTTTTAAAGGCGCAGTAACAGGTCTTTGAGAGCCAGAATTCTTGCTGTTTCTTAGGTGTTCAAATACTTATGTTCAGCAGTGCAAGACAAATAAATTCTTTAAAAATCATACAATGTGATTTCCTGCATTTTTTTTTAATTCTGTCTCTCAGAGTGGGAATGCACTTACAATGTGAATTTCAGACCCCTCCATGATTTCTAAGTGGGGGAACTTGCAAAATCACAGGGTGTTCAAATACTTCTGTTTCTCACTGTAAGTATTAAGCCCTCATTGCAAAAATCATTTCTCCTTTTAGCTCCATACCACTAAAAAATATGCTCTAAACACTTACTATTTTCTTTTTTCAAGTTCTCAATGCTCAGTCTCCCTCTCTGTGTTTCTTTTCTGAACTTCCAGTTAGGGAGCCCATATTGTACATATCATTGAACAGTCAGCTGTACAGCATTTGCTCAGGAGATTACCAGGAATAAAACCAATGTCAATAATAACACTTGCAGAGTGGTTTGTAATGAAGGCATTTGAAGCTGCCTATGGATGTCTGTGCACTGAGCATTGGCACAGCAAGCTGTAGTCTGGGAGTGCGCACATCAGGGTGGCTACACTGGAGCTGCAGCAAGGCCCTGTAAGGTAATGTAGCCTCCCTATAGCCAAACGTCATATCCAGCTGGTAAAACACACATCGGTGCATCACTTCTGATTTGGCATTTTATGCTTGAAATCAGTTTGTTTTATGTGAGTGCAGTATCTATTGTTTGATTTTTATTGTTAAATGGAATTACACTGTATGGCCCCCTACGTTTACTTCCTACACATGTGTATCCATATTGAGTGATCGCTGCATGGTATGATCTTGGTGAATAAAGAGCATGTTCTGGCTGAGGTGGACTACAAGCACCAGCAAAACTGGGACCTTCTTAACAAGCGCATCTGACTATTACTCAGCAGTAAGAGGCCACTGGAGTCAGTGAGTGAGTGGAACCACTGGTGGGGAGCACAGTTCACAGAACGGCACTTTAATAAGAATAAGCACGGGCAGGGGTGGACTGACAACTCATGGGGCCCCCGGGCAATAGGGGATCATGGGGCCCCTGTGTCCTTGCCCAAACTCAAAAAAGCCCATGAGAAAGGTACCAGGGGCATCTCATGGGGCCCCCTACTGACCCCGGGCCCTCAGGCAGTGCCAGACTTTCCAAATGGTCAGTCCGCCCCTGAGCACGGGCACTATTAAGAGACTGCATAGTTTGCACAAATCTTATGGACTATTAATGGTGTCACTATATTGTTAATTGAAATTATGACTGTATTTTAGATATAAAAAGCAGCAGCAGCTACCTATGTTTATATAAGCATACTTTTTCTATCACTTATTTCTAGGCAGCCATCTTTTCTGCAAAATCATTCATTGAACGTTACATCCAATGCAATTTTGAGCCGAGGACTACAAGTACCAGCAGAACCGGGACCTTCTTAAAAGTACATTTGACTCTAAGGCCTCTTTCACACGGGTGGTTGTTCTTTTTTTTTTTTTTTTAATTTAAATATTTATTACATTTTTCATATTAATACAAATACCCATAAAGGGAGACAATTCACATATACTGTAAATAGACATTTATAACATT